GCGCCGCGCGCGGCCAGTGCGGGGGGCCCGGTCTGCATGTGGGATCCGAGCCCGCGGGCGGGAGCGCCGCCGCGCTTCCCAAGCGGTGCACTATCCAGTGCGCCACCGGGCCGGCCCCTCAACAAAATAATTCTTGAATGAATGTTCTCACTCTTTCACATGCTGTTTGTTGTAATCCACTCCCTACTGTCTCATTTGTGATTTGCATTTTAACTTTAATTTCATTCATTTTCTAATATGCATTTTTATCCTTTTACTGTGGAAATTCCTAACATGTATAAAAATAAACAGAAATGTACAAAGATCCTCCTTGTATCCCTCACCTAGCTTCAATAATTACCCATTCAAGCCAGTGTCATTTCGTCTATGTACCCACCCACTCTCCACCCCTTGTAATAATTTGAAGGAAATCCCAGATACCCTGTATTTCATTGTTAAATACTTCAGAGTGTTTCTCTTAAACACAAGAACTACTTTAAAAATAAGCACAATACATTATCATACCTAAAACATTAACAGTAATTATTTAATGTCATCAAATAGTCAATCAATGTTTATGTCTTTAATTGTATAAATGTCATAAATCATTTTTTACAGTGCTTAAAATCAAATCCACATAAGGTTCACACGTAGTTTCTTAAAGTTATTTTAAAGTTTATGCTTTAAAAATGAGAAGACATTTTAACAACTTATTTGGTCAAATCTGTTCATCTTTTTCCTAATAACTGGCAATTTTTATTTAAAGCGCAATTCCTGACAGATCATTTAGTAAGAAACATCTGGCCGATATGAGAGAAGTACTTGATACAGTTAATTTTAGATCCAATTTAAGACGATGTTAAACTTAGGGCCTACCTCCACTCCAGCTGCAGCCAGGAGCCACCGGATGGATTCCATTCTGCCCATGTCTTTAATTGTTGTATAAATGTCATAAATCATTTTTTACAGTTTGCTTAAAATCAAATCCACATAAGGTTCACACGTAGTTTCTTAAAGTTATTTTAAAGTTTATGCTCTAAAAATGAGAAGACATTTTAACAACTTATTTGGTCAAATCTGTTCATCTTTTTCCTAATAACTGGCAATTTTTATTTAAAGCACAATTCCTGACAGATCATTTAGTAAGAAACATCTGGCCGATATGAGAGAAGTACTTGATACAGTTAATTTTAGATCCAATTTAAGACGATGTAACTTAGGGCCTACCTCCACTCCAGCTGCAGCCAGGAGCCACCGGATGGATTCCATTCTGCCCCGTCCATTGAAGTAGTGAAGCTTGGGCTTCCCCGCCATGATAGCAGTCTCCTGGCGTCTCTAAGGCTGAATGAATGAATGAAACCATGGAATCAAAGATGTACTGTAGGATGCATGGTTGCAGAGCACCAACAATACTGAAGAACTTTCTGCTTGTTTATGGCCAGACTGGATGAGTTCCTGCAATGTTTTCTTAGCCTAAATTGTGATCTATCAGTAGTCACCCTCAGATTGCACCAAATCAGTCCTATGTCCCGATTGGTTGAAATGTGAATGTTCTTGGCAGCTAATAGGTGAGCATACGTGGTAATAATGTATATAAGGGAGTTAGTGGAAAGACGAAGAATTAGAGAACTAATATTTATTGAAAACTTCCTACAGATCCCGTCCCAATGCTACTCCCTTTCGATATGTTATTTCTTTACTTCTCATAATGACCCCACAAACTGGTTGCAATTATCTCTATTATGAAGTTAATGAAATGAGTCTCAGAGAGTTTAGTTGCAAAGCCCACAGTTAGTGATGGACATGAAAATCCATACCGAGGACTAAAAAGAAGGTAGGTCTGATACCACACAACTCAAGGCCCCAGGAACATGTGAGGTGGCCTTGAAAGCAGGGATGTCACTGACAGGGAGGAGCAGTACGGAACAAAGTCACTCTTCAGCTCTTTGGCTGTTCAGCTGCATTTGAACAAGAGTAGAAATGAGGCCTCAGACTTGCTTCACTTAGCTCAAAGGTCCAAAATTTTTCCAGAGAGAGAGAGGATGCTCATTCTATGATTCTTTGGAATTCTTTATTCTACCTCTACTGAGTGCATTTGATTTTATAATCTAGAATAGGAGGTGTTGCTGCATTAAATTTACACTACATGGAATGGAGCTAGCATTTGTTCAAGGTCAGTCACACACTGCACATTCTCACAAATCTGTATTTTATCCTACAAAAATCACCAGGTGAATCTTGTTATTCTCATTTTACAGTTGGGGATACTGAAGTTTCTAGTTTAACTTGCCCAAAGTATGTGGTAGGCCTGGGATTCAAACCCCTCTCTGTTCAGTTTCTGGTCAAGATGGCAGAGTAGACAGTTCCTAGCATCACTCTCTCCCACAAATCAACCAATTTGCAACTATTAAAAAGCAACAACAAGAGTCCTGAATGCTGCACCGGAACAGGCAGGAGCCACGCGCTGCAGGACCTCCAGCCCAGGTCAGTCCCTGCTGCTTAGAGAGGCCCGAGAGCTGCCAGGTCCACATGCCCCAATTCAGCTGCACTGGAACAGGTAGGCACTGCAGGATCCCCAGCCCATGCCAGTGCCTGCCACCCAGAGAGGCCTGAGAGCTACCAGGCCCACACTCCCCAAGTCAGCCACAGCAGAAGAGGCAGGTGCCATGGGATCCCCGCCCAGGCCAGTCCCTGTCACACAAAGAGGCCTGAGAGCTGCTGGGCCCACAGGCCCCAAGTCAGCCATGCTGAAACAGGCATGTGCTGTGGGACCCTCAGTCCAGGCTAGTCCCTGCTACTCAGAGAGGCCCGAAGGCCACTGGGCCCACACACCCTGAGTCAGCTGTGCTGCAACAGGCAGGTGCCATGGGACCCCCAGCCCAGGCTAGTCCCTGCTGCCCAGAATTCACAGTCCCTTCCGGATCCAGGCAGGACATCAGGGTGGAACGAGTGGACTGTGATACCCCTGTCACAATGACAAAACACCAAAGGTAAGACACCAGAAATATGAAAAACCAAGAAAGTACATCACCGCCAAAGGAAAATAATAGCTCTCAAGCTCTAGATCCCATAGAACAGGAAGTCATTGAAATGACTGACAAGGGATTTTGAGCAACAATTCTAAGGAAACTAAATGAGATACAAGAAAACTCAGTTAGACAACACAATTAAATGAGAAAAAATATACAGGACCTGAAAGAAAAAAATGTACAAAGAAATCAATACCCTGAAAAAAAATGTAGCAGAGCTTGTGGAGCTAAAGGATTCACTCAATGAAATAAACACAACCAAGAGTCTAGCCAGCAGGCTACAACAAGCAGAAGAGAGAATTTCCAACCTTGAAGACAGGCTGTTTGAATTAACACAAGCAGACCAGAAAAAAGAAAAAATAATTTAAAAAATTGAAAAAAATCTAAGAGAGAGAACAGACAACCTTAAGTGCTCAAATGTCCAAATAATGGGTATTCCAGAAGGGGAGGAAAAAAGAAATGGCACTGAAAACATATTCAAGGAAATAATAACAGAAAACTTCCCAGGGATAGGGAAAGTCACAGATCTACAGATTCAGGACGCCCAAAGATCCCCAAACATATTCAACCCACAAAGGTCCTCTCCAAGACATGTTGTATTCAAACTGGCAAAACTCAAAGACAAAGAGAGAATCTTACAAGTTACAAGAGAGAAGTGTCAAATCACCTGTAAGGGAGCCCCAATCAGACTAACATCAGACTTCTGATATATTCAAAATACTAAAGAACAAAAATTGACAGCCAAGAATACTTTACCCAGCAAGGCTATCCTTCTGAAATGAAGGACAAATAGTATATTTCTCAGACAAACACAAACTGTGGAAGTACACTACCACACAACCAGCCTTACAAGAAATTCTCAACGGAGTACTGGGTTTGATACCTGAAAAACAATCATCACTGCCATGAATACTCAAGAAAGAACAAAACCTACCAGTAAAACAAAAATGCTAACAAATAAAGAGAAAAAATAGTTTATCTACCACTCCAAGAAATCAACAAACATAGAAGACAAACAGAAAATCAGAAAGAAAGGAATGAAAGATACTTAAGACATCTAAACAAAAATCAATAAAATGCTAGGAGTAAAGAAACAACTTTCAATAATAACTCTAAATGTAAAAGGATTAAATTCCCCACTCAAAAAACACAGACTGACTGACTGGATTAAAAGGATGGACCCAGCAATACGCTGCCTTCAAAAGACTCACCTCACCTGTAAAGACACAATAGACTAAGAGTGAAAGGATGAAAAAAGATATACCATGCAAATAGAGGTGAAAAACGAGCTGGAGTAGCTATTCTTATATCAGATAAAATAGACTTTAAAGCAAAAACCATAAAAAGAGATAAAGAAGGCCACTATATAATGATAAAAGGATCTATCCACCAAGAAGACATAAGAATCAAAAATATTTACACACCCAACATCAAAGCAGCCAGATTTATAAAGCAAACACTATTAGATCTAAAGAATGAGGTAGACACTAACACCATAATAGTGGTGGACCTGAACAACCCACTCTCAACACTGGACAGATCATCTAGGCAAAAAATCAATAGAGAAACACAAGGTCTAAACAACACTTTAGACCAATTGGACCTGGCAGATATCTACAGAACATTCCATCCAACAACCTCAGAATATTCATTCTCATCAGCTCATGGAACATTCTCCAGGATAGAACACATGTTAGGTCACTAATCGAGTCTCAAAAAATTCAAAAAAATTGGAAGTATTTCATGTATTTTTTCAGATCACAATGGATTAAAATTAGAAATCAATAACAAGTGAAACTCTGGAAATTATACAAACATATGGAAATTAAACAACATTCTACTTAATGACATATGAGTCCAAGGATAAATTAAACAGGAAATCAAAAAATTTCCTGAAACTAATGAAAATAATGACACATCATACCAAAACCTGTGGGATACTGCAAAAGCAGTACTAAGGGAAATTTATCACATTAAATGCTTACTTCAGAAGAATGGAAATATGGCAAATAAACAACCTAACACTTCACCTTAAAGAACTAAAAAAACAGGAACAATCCAAACCCAAAGTTAGTGGATGGAAAGAAATAATTAAGATCAGAGCCAAACTTAATGAAATTGAAACCCAAAAAACAATACAAAAGATCAATGAAACAAAAAGTTGTTTTTTTGAAAAGATAAATAAAATTGACAAACCTTAAGCAAGGCTAACTAGGAAAAGAAGAGAGAAAACCCAAATAACAAAAATTAGAAATGAAAAAGGTGATATTACAAATGATGCCTCAGAAATAAAAGAAATCATTAGAGACTACTATAAACAACTATATGCCAGCAAATTTGAAAATCCGAGGAAATGGATAAATTTCTGGACACATACAAACTACCAAAACTTAGCCAAGAAGATACAGAAAATCTGAACAGACAAAAAACAATAAAAGAGATTAAAGCTCTTATAAGAAGTCTCCCAACAAAGAAAAGCCCAGGACCAGACAGGTTCACTGCAGAGTTCTGCCAAACCTTCAAAGAGGAACTGATACCAATTCTCTACAAACCATTCCAAAAGATTGAAACAGAGGCCATTCTCCCAAACTCATTCTATGAGGCAAACATCACCCTGATACCAGAAGGGGACAAAGATACATCAAAAATAGAGAACTACAGGCCAATATCCTTGATGAATATAGATGCAAAAATGCTCAATAAAATAGTAGCTAACAATACAGGAACACATACACAAAATTATATACCATGACCAAGTGGGATTCATCCCAGGAATGCAAGGTTGGTTCAACATATGCAAATCAATAAATGTGATAAACCACATCAATAAAAGCAAAGATGAAAACCATATGATCATCACTGTAGATGCTGAAAAAGCATTTGACAAAATTCAACATTCACTCATGATAAAGATTCTCTACAAGTTAGGTATAGATGGAAAATATCTCAACACAATTAAAGCCATATATGATAAGCCACTGCCAGTATCATCCTAAATAGGGAAAGGCTGAAAGCTTTTCCTTTAGGAACAGGAAATAGACAAGGATGCCCACTCTCACCACTCCTATTCAACATGGTGTTGGAAGTACTAACCAGAGCAATCAGAGAAGAGAAGGAAATAAAGGGCATCCAGATTGGAAAAGATGAAGTCAAACTATCCCTGTCTGTGGATAATATGATGTATATATTGAACAGCCTAAAGCCTCTACAAAAAAAACTCTTAGAGTTGATAAATGATTTCAGCAAAGTTGCAGGATACAAAATCAACACAAAAAATCAGTAGCAATTCTATACTCCAACAGTGAACATGCA